GGGTTTGGGGTCTTGGGTTTAGGGTTTCGGGGCCGAGGGTTTCGGGTTTAGGGTGCTAGGGTTTAGGGTTTAGGGCCCTAGGGTTGAGGGTTTGGGGCCTTGGGTTTAGGGTTTCGGGGCCGAAGGTTTAGGGTTTAGGGTGCTAGGGTTTAGGGTTCTAGGGTTGAGGGTTTGGGGCCTTGGGTTTAAGGTTTCGGGGCCGAGGGTTTAGGGTTTAGGGTTTAAGGCCCTAGGGTTGAGGGTTTGGGGTCTTGGGTTTAGGGTTTCGGGGCCGAGGGTTTCGGGTTTAGGGTGCTAGGGTTTAGGGTTTAGGGCCCTAGGGTTGAGGGTTTGGGGCCTTGGGTTTAGGGTTTCGGGGCCGAGGGTTTAGGGTTTAGGGTGCTAGGGTTTAGGGTTTAAGGCCCTACATTTGAAGGTTTGGGGCCTTGGGTTTAGGGTTTCGGGGCCGAGGGTTTAGGGTTTAGGGTGCTAGGGTTTAAGGTTTAAAGCGCTAGGGTTGAGGGTTTGGGGCCTTGGGTTTAGGGTTTCGGGGCCGAGGGTTTAGGGTTTAGGGTGCTAGGGTTTAGGGTTTAGGGCCCTAGGGTTGAGGGTTTGGGGCCTTGGGTTTAGGGTTTCGGTGCCGAGGGTTTAGGGTTTAGGGTGCTAGGGTTTAGGGTTTAAGGCACTAGGGTTTTTTGGGTTTAGGGTGCTAGGGTGTAGGGTTTAAGGCCCTAGGGTTGAGGTTTAGGGTGCTAGGGTTTAGGGTTTAGGGCCCTAGGGTTGAGGGTTTGGGGCCTTGGGTTTAGGGTTTCGGGGCCGAGGGTTTAAGGTTTAGGGTGCTAGGGTTTAGGGTTTAAGGCCCTAGGGTTGAGGGTTTGGGGCCTTGGGTTTAGGGTTTCGGGGCCGAGGGTTTAGGGTTTAGGGTGCTAGGGTTTAAGGTTTAAGGCGCTAGGGTTGAGGGTTTGGGGCCTGGGTTTCGGGGCCGAGGGTTTCGGGGCCGAGGGTTTAGGGTTTAGGGTGCTAGGGTTTAGGGTTTAAGGCACTAGGGTTGAGGGTTTGGGGTCTTGGGTTTAGGGTTTCGGGGCCGAGGGTTTCGGGTTTAGGGTGCTAGGGTTTAGGGCCCTAGGGTTGAGGGTTTGGTGCCTTGGGTTTAGGGTTTCGGGGGCGAGGGTTTAGGGTTTAGGGTGCTAGGGTTTAGGGTGCTAGGGTCTAGGGTTGAGGGTTTGGGGCCTTGGGTTTAGGGTTTCGGGGCCGAGGGTTTAGGGTTTAGGGTGCTAGGGTTTAGGGTTTAAGGCCCTAGGGTTGAGGGTTTGGGGCCTTGGGTTTAGCGGGGCCGAGGGTTTAGGGTTTAGGGTGCTAGGGTTTAAGGTTTAGGGGTCTGGTTGAGGGTTTGGGGTCTTGGGTTTAGGGTTTCGGGGCCGAGGGTTTCGGGTTTAGGGTGCTAGGGTTTAGGGTTTAGGGCCCTAGGGTTGAGGGTTTGGGGCCTTGGGTTTAGGGTTTCGGGGCCGAGGGTTTCGGGTTTAGGGTGCTAGGGTTTAGGGTTTAAGGCCCTAGGGTTGAGGGTTTGGGGCCTTGGGTTTAGGGTTTCGGGGCCGAGGGTTTAGGGTTTAGGGTGCTAGGGTTTAGGGTTTAAGGCCCTACATTTGAGGGTTTGGGGCCTTGGGTTTAGGGTTTAGGGCCCTAGGGTTGAGGGTTTGGGGCCTTGGGTTTAGGTTTCGGGGCCGAGGGTTTAGGGTTTAGGGTGCTAGGGTTTAGGGTTTAAGGCACTAGGGTTGAGGGTTTGGGGTCTTGGGTTTAGGGTTTTGGGCCCTAGGGTTGAGGGTTTGGGGCCTTGGGTTTAAGGTTTCGGGGCCGAGGGTTTAGGGTCTGGGTGCTAGGGTTAGGGGATAGGGGTTTAAGGGGCTGAAGGCAACACTCTTTTTGGGGGTGCAGGGGGTGTCCCCACGGCTTTCGGCCATGGCTTCCGGCCCTGGCTTTCGGCCATGGCTTTCGGCCATGGCTGTCGGCCATGGGTTTCGGCGCCATGGGTTTCGGCCATGGGTTTCGGCCATGGCTTTCGGCCATGGGTTTCGGCGCCATGGGTTTCGGCGCCATGGGTTTCGGCCATGGTTTTCGGCCATGGCTTTCGGCCATGGCTTTCGGCCATGGGTTTCGGCCATGGCGTTCGGCCATGGCTTCCGGCCATGGCTTCCGGCCATGGGTTTCGGCGCCATGGGTTTCGGCCATGGGTTTCGGCCATGGTTAGGGTTTAGGGTGCTAGGGTTTAGGGTTTAAGGCTTTAATTTAAAAAAGGGTTTGGGGCCTTGGCTTTAAGGTTCGGGGAAGAAGGTCCGCCCCTACCCATGCTCACCCCCAAAAACCCTTCTCCTCAAGTAGAATGGGTGGTGTCCCACCCCCGCCCCGCGTCCCCCCCACCCGCCCCCGCCGCGGTGTGCACCACACCCACCGCATACCCTACTCACGCCCATCCCGCCCACACCCAAAAGCTCTTCGCCTCACCCCCTCTGGCCCTCGCCGCCCCCGACCCCAAACCCGTTCCTGTTCCGTCTATAGGGGCTAAGCGCAACACTCTTTTCAGGGTCCAGGGAACCAGCCCGGCCCAGCCCAGGCTGCTGCCTGCCCTTTGCTGGCTGCCAAAAAGTTTGAAAGAAAAGAAAACTCTTTTCGGGGGTTCTAGGGGGTGTCCCCCTAGCGCGGTCCAGCAACAAGCGAGTGCTGGCGGGGTCCAGGGCGAGGAGTCCTGGCGGGGGGTCTGGGGGGCAGCGCCCCCCAGGATCACGGTGGTGAATATTTACGATTCGTAAAGAATTTCATGAAAATTCCGTAAGCCACTCCAAGGAGCATGGGTTTGGGCCATGGGTTTATGGTTCCACCCACCCCGGCCACCCACCCATCGCGATGGCTACGTTTACGTTTCGAAATTAAATTCCTGGGTTTAGACAACACCCCCCTATGAAAGAAGTGCACCCTCAAGTTGACTAGGGCGACTGCTACGCTGCTAAACCCTAAACCCTAAACCCTAAACCCTAATTCCTAAACCGCCTTAAACCCTACACCGTGAACCGAAACCCTCGCCGGGGGGGGTCAAACCCTTCAATTTACTTAAACCCTCGCGGGGGGGGAATCAAACCCTTCAATTTACTTAAACACTCGCGGGGGGGGGGGGGTCAAACCCTTCAATTTAATTAAACCCTCGCGGGGGGGGTCAAACCCTTCAATTTACTTAAACCCTCGCGGGGGGGGGGTGATCTCAGATTCGGACATGAAATCAAGGGCCGTTGTCGGCACCTGCGCAAACTTGTATCACAGCGGGTCTTCGTGGATGGTTGTCCATGGCGCACTGCATGGCCTTGACCTCTGACTTCGCCACAAACATGCTGGGACCTCTGCAAGACTATCGAAAGATGCCTGCCAGTGTGCCTTCGAACATGTACGCCGCAGATTTCTGCATGTGTGCTTGCCTCCGAATCGCCGCGACCTGACATCAATGGAAAAAACTCTCAACATCAAAGGCTGGGCTCCTCTCTTCTTCAGGCTTTCATGTGAGTTTCATGTGAGAGTTTCAGTGATTGCGGGCCAGTGGCCGAAAGCAGGAAAACATCCAAGGCTCTGCGGCATCCAACGCTTCCTTCCAGCTTGCTACCTCGCTTGCGGATTGGAAGCTTACAGAACTGAAATCGAGGAGTGCCTTGATCAATGGTGGACTTGAATCCTTACAGGCAGCCTTCTCAACTTCTCAACCACATGGGCGGACACATGGCGGTACAAGGCTTTTATCTACCTCTGTGGCGCTTCCCTTCGCCCGGTGGAGCCACCTAAGGCCGCTCACTGTCTCTACGAGTTGTGGGAAATGTGGTTTCCACATTTTCTCCGGAGGAGCACGGAAACACGTGTCCAAAAACGGAAGGGCCCCCAAAGTGGACAGGTGCATGCCTTAGCATGATTTGTTTGAGATCCCTTGCCCTCAACTACAACACCAAAAGGTTTTTCATGCTAGAACTCAATTTACAAGTTTGTCTTCGCTGGGGGGTGAACGTGCAGCTTCGGCAGCTTCGGCAAACCCTGAACACGTTATATAGGGTTTGCGTGGCTCTCTGGGTTGCAAAGAGAAACCGCTGGCCTCCACATCCAATTGGCTGGGCTGGCTTCTTTCATCCGGCAGCCTTGCATATATGAGAGTTGATAGCACAACATGAGCAATGCACCTTGCACGTCGTGGCAGACAAGTGGCTGGAACAAGCTGTACATCCACGGCTCCAGGGGATCTTCATTGATGAGGCTCGCCACCTTTGTCCAGGAACTTCCGAGCAGCGGCTAGGCAAACCAAACCAAACTGTCAAAATCATAACTGAGCCTGGGCCTGGACTTTTGGCTCAACCTGGCTTCCAGTCATCGACCTTGGGCACCACAGCTCGCTACGTGAGCAGTGCTAGGAACTCTCCTACTTGCATACGCAAGGCTGCAGGAGCTGCATCCGTGGTTCGGCGTACATGGCTCCCTTGTATGTCAGCTGCACAGGAGCTGCAAGCTGTGGAAGCTGAGGTGTTTCTCAACAACTATTGAATGCACTTAACTGCAACCCAGGAAAGGAGACGGTGGAAACTTATCAGCCCGGCATGTTTGGGATGCAGCTGTCATGGAACAAAAGCTGCAGCACGAGAGAAGTGAGTCTACGATCAAGCACATGAAGAATCAAAAAGAGATCAGCGGGAGATGTCACCCCAAGATTGAATCCTGTCCGGGCTTGTTTACAATCCTCACGAAATCGCGGTCAAACTGGTTAATACCATACTGTTTGCACGCCGACTTGAGGTCGAAGTTCTGCCGAGGCAAGCAGGCATATATCCCTGAATGCAAGCGAGTGCCCCAGACATCCTGATGTCCCGCAACTGGCCCTGCAATGCTAAGACCGTGGAGCAGCAAACGATTCCAGGCGATTTTGCACAAACACAGCTGTATGGAATCGATGGTCCCAAGCAGTCCATCTTGGCAAGATGACCGCGTGGATGGGATTTTGCCGACTATGGAAGTGTGACACTGGAAACTGGTTCCTCAGGAGGGGCATCGTAGTGACGGAAATCGATTTCAACATCTCCACCACGCATTTGCAGGCTGTCTTTGGTGACTTTCCAGCTGGTGATCAAGGGGAGGGCCTTGGAAAAGCTTTGCTCCAAGTCCATGAGCGGGGGCGGGGCCATGACCATTGTTCCTGCAACCACGCCCAGCTGGACCTCTTCCGCACCGATCGGACCGCTGTTAGTTTGAACCTGGGACTGCAAGCCGCTTGGCAAATTGGGCCACTAGGGACAGGCTTGGCCAATCTTGGCCAAGCGGCTTGGCCATCGTAAGGGTCCCTTAAAGCAAAGCTTACTCAACGAATGACGAGACTCAGTCGTCATCAGGGTGTTTCCCAACTTCAACGAAAGCCGAAAGAGTGGCGTGCCTGGCTTTTCTGTCAAGGTCATGATGATGTTGCCCATTCCAGGTGGTGCTTCGGCATCCACTGCATAGCCCCTGCCTTTGCCCTTTCCTTTCACAGCCAGGGCAGCATCCAAGCTGACAGTTTCACCTGCAATGACCAACCGCTGCAAATCCCAAGATCCAATCGCTGGATGGGGTTGCTTGAGTGTCTGCTTGCGTGGATTCCGCCGTAAAGACAGCTTGAAACGATCCTGGACCTTGTTTGCGCACACAGCTGGGAACACCATGGCTCCTGGCTGGCGCGGACATCCTTTGAAAGCTTCTCCGAGGCAAACATCTCCTTCCCAGAAGGTCACCGAGACGGTCGACTCATCTGTCAGGTCCAAGGCCACACCAATGACGGAACCTGCCTTCACCTGTTCGCCAAATTGCGTCCGCAAGCCGCCACTACCGTTGCTCAGGTTGCCAGGCCCGCCGAAGAAGAGGCCCTTGATCTTGTAGCCTTCCAGAAATCCGTTTCTGGTGGTGACCCCGATGAAAGCACCTGAGCCCTCAAGGACCTCAACTTCAAAGTACTCGGAGCCACTGCTGAAGCCCACCTCGCACAAAGCATTGCATTTGCTGCCCCTCCTTAGTTCCAAACCCTCAACAACAAGGGATTTAGAGCTTCAAAGGTGTATGGGGTGGCAGTGTAGGGCCAACTCTCAAGCAAGGCATCTTTTCGTCTCCTTCGATGACAAATTCTCCACCACCGAGGTCTTTTACTTGGTCCGGGCCGGCACCAATCCAGGGCAACCGCACGAGCACCACGGTGATTTGTGAGTCTGGTACGATCTGCTCATCTCCAAGCACGCCGGCTTCGTGATTCAACTCAATGCACCTGATCGAAAATCAGCAGCTCCAGAGATTTTGCTTGCGGTCTTATGGCTTCGGGGGGCGAAAGTGACCGCAAGTTTCCGAGGATGGAACAAGAAGCCACCGGTGGGCCAGATAGTTGTCGTTCAAAATATGAATATGCTTCCTGCTAGTTTGTGGCACGAGAATTCCTGGCACACCGCCGGTGCTCCAAAAGCATCCCCACACCAACCCCTATTCAACCATAAAGCCCCGAGCTCATCGGCACCTTGGATGCTGGTCCAGTTTTTCTGCGATCTGTTGCCTGAGGTCAGCGACCTTGTCGCCTGCAGCTGCTGTCACCTCCACCTGATTGGCCAAGCATATACACCACAACACGAGTCCTCCTCAACGTCTAGATCTCTGGCCTCCTTGCCAGAGGCCAGGGTCACCTGCTCAGCTACCAGGCATCCAGACCATCCCCGCCACTGCACATGCTATGCTACCCAGCCTGAACAGGCATGGCAGCCCCTGGCCCTGGACTGTCAAGTAAAACAGCACCTTGCAGACTCGGAGCCTTGCCTTTACAGCAACGAGATGGAAAGCTGGAGGGCAATTTGGGCGTGCAAATGCACATATCTTTCGAACCTAGCCTAGAGCGTCCAAGCAGTGAATTCGACATGTTCAATGCAACGCGGTTTTTGAGCGCCGTTCTTCCATATCCGGCTTTGTAAACCTCAGAAGTCTCCGACGTCTGCCGTTCCACCGGTTCCGGCTGTGTCATCAGCTGGCTCCTCTGGTTTCATGTCAGCACAGGCTGAACTCCGACAATCCTCAATGCATGGGGAAGGTAGAAATAGAACAGCGGCCTCGTCGGCAGTCTGCGTACCCAAGGTCTGGTCAACCTCCCTGCCACTCAGAACAGTATGTCTAGCCCAGAAATTTGCTCAAGTGTCGGCGCCTGAGCAGCTGGCGTGCCTCCAGGATCACCTGGACCTGCAAATGCCGTGGGGCAGCCAGATTTCCGCGTGCAGTAACACTACGTTTCTTTTTTGCCTCCGGGTTTTCCTCACCTTCGCTACGCATAGCGACGTCTACATCCTCACGGCCAAGCAGAGAGCGTGGAGCCCGACACAGGTCTCTCTTTCGGACTCCTGGTGGCCCTCTGCCAGGTGATCGCGAAGCTCCGTGGCATACCTGCCAGCCTACCTTGCGGTCACTTGTCACCCAGGCTGTGGTATGTTTGCAGCAGGAGGTCAACGGTACAACTTGTTCTGTACAACTACAAGATACTTCCAGGGTAGACTGTTTGCAATCGCTTTTATCTGAGACTTCTCCATTCCCTGCTTTACCGAAGGGTGGTTTGCATTCCCCACTCTTCACATTTCGTCGTCACCCGCATTCACACGCCTTCGGGTTGCCCCTGCTGTCGTCAGATTCAGTGTTGGCTACTGTACTCCTACTCCTCAGCCATGTAGGATGGAGGTTCTTCTACCAGTCAAACGCTCTTTGTCGTGGTTGGTGCAGGTAATACGGGCCAGCTTAGCTTCTGAAGACGGTGTCTGGCATCAGGAATGACCGTCAGTGTGTCCTGGCGACGGCACGCTGTGCTTGTAAGACCTGCTGAGCCACTGGGCAGCTGGCGTTCAAGACTTCGATCTGCTTCTTAATGTCCGCCTGAAAGATCCCACAAGACCCGCATTCCATGGCTCCGCGGCCGACTCGCCTCGTCGTCGCTCTGCGCTTTCATCGCCTCGATCTTCGCGCGCTGGGTGCCCTCAGGGCCGGGTCCATCGGCCACGCATGCTGCTGCACTGCTGCCGCATGCGCACCAGCTCTTTTTCGGCTGGAAGTAGCCCAGCAGAGCCTTGACCTATACATGACCTCGGCTCTGGGTAAAACTTGAGAGGTTCGGGCTTCGGAGTTGATCCGACTGGCCGCGCAGTGGGCGCAGCGCCGAGCCCATCTACTACAGGCTACCATGAAATGTGGTGGACACCAGCAAGTCCAGTGCGCCACGCCAAAAAACTGAGCAGAAATCTGACGATGTCTAGAAGCGTGGTGCTGTGCTTGCTGAATGCTTCGGGAAAACGCGACCACCAGCAGCTGTGCATGGCCCAATGCATGCTCTCTTGGAATGCTAATAGAACCCTACAGTAATTGCCCGAACTGACAGGATCCTCGAAGCACTCGCCTGTGCATCTGCAAGTTACCGAATTGCCACAACTCATGCCAGTGCGAAGAGTTGCGTGAGATAGAAGGTGCCGTTGGAGGCCCGTGCAACTCCCAGGCCACAGAGGTTAAAAGTTCCGCGGAGATTCCTTCGCAAAACACTTGCCAGATAAAACAAGCCCTATGCATGACAGTGACATTCGAAAGGAGAAGCAGTGAGAGCCTCTCGTGCCCGGGAGATTTGATCCAACCATCGACTGCAACCTTGGCGACATCTGCAACGCCGTGGTTCAGCGCCTCACAAGAAGAGAGAGGGCAGGTATGTAGAGCCGGGGCAAAACACCTGTGAAACTGGGGAGTTGGCCAAGTTCTCCGCTGCGGCACGATGGGCCATCGGATAGGCGCGGAAGCGCTCCTCTACACCGTCATGACCTTGGCCCCGAGGCGCTTGCTGCGTTGTAGAAATTGAAAGGGCATGGAGCTGGCGACATGGTTCACGTTAGGCTGGCGAGAGAAACCAAATTCGAAAACACGGTAAGCAAACAACTAGCAAGCTCTAGCAAGCTGGCAGGAAACACAGTGAGCTCCGATGAAGCCGCTCGGCTTTCAGCAAGGTTGGTCCATGCACTTGTCACGATCGACACGGAAAGCTCCAACCGCATTGTCAAAATGTTGCTGAGCATCTTGTCAGAAAGAGCAAAAACGTCTGTAACTTGAAGCGAATCAAACTCTGATTTTCATGCGTCGCAATATGAACCGTGTCGACTGTCAACATCCATGGCCGAAATCTGGTGTTCGGAGGCTTCAGCTTCGGGTAGAAAGCTTCATTCGTGCGCCTCTTGCACGGAAGAGGATCTCAACACAACAGGATCTCATGGTTAAGTTGTTACGAACCGTGTTTAAAGCAACGTTGGGCGGTGGTACACCAACGAAGTACGGTTGAAGAACTGATACTGAACGGACTTAGCCAACTGCGAAGCTGAGGAAAGGGGGATGAACCGAAGCTTCGGATTGGGCCAGTTCTTTTGGTGCTGAAGGGGTGCGTGTCACCTGCGTTTATTTGATCGAGAGTGCAGCTGTTGTAAGGATCCGGATGATCCGTTGGGGGTGGCACATCAAGCCAACTAGTTGCAAGTTGAAGCTGCATGTGATTTGACAGCTGCAGCACACAGGCTGCAGAGGCCGTTGTTTTCTCAACGCGACAAAAAAGTTGACCTAGGTGTGCTTTGCCTGGAAATCTTATCAGGAGTTCTCATGGTCTGGCGGTGACCTCTGCAGAAATTGCACCTTGGATCTGCAAGCCTTGTCTGTTCAGCGTGTGCAAGTTTGGCTCTCTGGCTTTCTTTCAGAAACCTGATGTTACGGAAACCTTTCGTGTAGCAATGCATGGCCAAGTCATTGCCCCCGTTGCCTTTGCTTCATAGAAGATGCAAGATGCCGGAATTGGCGTTGAATGCCGACGAATACCAAACAGCGATGTGCTGGAAGGCGTACTTGAGCAGCCAATACTCAATACTCCTGACGGTATCCGGGCTTGAGCCTAGCCTGTGCTTGGCTTTGAATGCTTGCTATCTCCCTAGGGAGAAAAGACCTTTGTACACCAGCATATTAAAGACTTAGAGACTTAGAACATCATGAATCCGAAAACCTTCTACCAGCCCCATGATGTGTTGTGTCAGTTCTGCCGCATCTGTGGCGAGTTTTCAAGTCTGCCCCACAGAGGACAGGACGAGGGTGAAGTAAGTGCGGCCATCTTTTCGTGACACGTGGGCCTAAACCTCAAAACCATTCAAAACCCGAATGTAGGGTTCTCGTGGCAGCTAAAGTCACGCATCCCAGTTTTGATGCGGACGAGTGGCTAAACGGCATTGCCCCACTGGCCATCTGCTCGGCATGCTGACGCGCAATCCGAGCAATGCCGTCGTGCCACTGCAGGGGCACTAGTCCCTGGCCAAGCGTGTCCCGAAATAGACATAGAGATGCAGAGCACGGATTGCACGTGAGTGCTTTTGGACGTTGCTGTTGATGCCTTGGAAGCACGGTACTGGTTGGTGCCGTCCAAGGCCTGGCGCGCGATGAGCTCAGGGTCC